TCGTTGTTTCTGAAAATTAATAACAATCAATCGATTGCGCGAATTTTTATTCGTGACCGTAAGCTACAGTCGAAAAGCAATATCGGTTAATTCGCAATCGAATTCGCAGGAAATTACGTTCAGCGTAGGTATATTCGCAAGAGGTCCTCGAAATGCAACAGATCAACCGAAACGATCGTTTGGAGCTAACCCCATTTCATTCGGGTTCGTATAATTTTCTCGAAATATTATCCCAATCTTTTTTCTTCCATACAGTAATTCACGCGATTTTGCAGTTCATTGAATTTCATCGGAAAATCTTTCCCATGTGCGCCATGTCTAAGTTATTCCCTTTAAAAGCCGCAAAAATATGGAGGCGATTGAATGTTTTACACTTTGATGGTTATTTCCTCCGTATCATAAAAAAGTAAGCATTCCCTTGAGCGTTTCTTCCTTTGTTATTCGAACACGATGCGGTTGCAACACACAATCCGTCCAGTTACTTCGAACTCACACACGCGCGCGCACACAGGCGCGTGTGCACACCGACGAAGTGGATAATAAAACGACACGCACGTACGCGGGCCACTACAGACCTGAAATGCACAGAAAAAAAAGAAAGCTTTACCTCTCTTTATCTGACGATTCGATTACTCAAGGCACGCTTCTCGTGTGTACACACGCATGATATTCACTTTTATGATTTTCAAAAAAGTTTCTATCGATTTTGCGTCGCATTCCGATGTACGTTTTAACCATATTTTCCACGCGGATGGCGATTCAATCGTGCTCGTCTAAGCACCAGTGGCTAATATAAATTCGACTCTGAAAAAATAACCAATAGCTCGCATCTGTTCTCGGAAGAAAAAGAAGTAAAAATAGAACTATACGTGTCTCCCTTCTTAATCTTTCGTCTCAGACGAAACGTCATACACTCTGCTTTGTTTTTGTAAGCGCAGTCATTTAACTTAATCCATGCGAACGCTCCACCGATGCACACACTGAATTTGTTAAACCCGCACGTGCGCGTATTTAACGTGCCGCAGCCAAGAGCACCTTTTGCAAGTAATCAGTAAGCATACATGTGTATATATATAGTCTTTTTTTCTTGAGGAAGTTGCTTTTCCGCTTTTAGGCGCGTTTAAAAGCAGCCATACTTTTCAGCATTTCGAATACTCGCGTGGTAAAGTAGAACACTGCAATCGTGTTTAAGGTTATGCAGATTTAGCATTTTACCGTGGTAAAAAATTTTTACGGTTGATCATTGAAGTCCATAGAGAATTTCTCTTTGAAATTAATTGTATAAAAATGAACTTGATGAAATTTTTAAATTTTATATTTCGTGAATAAGGAAGAAATCTATCGATTTACATCGACGCAAATAAAATGTGAATAATCGATTAATTGTTTCGTCAAAATGTCACTAGACTATGCGATCCACTGACAAATACGTTGTTGGCAAGCAAACGTGTTTTCCCATGACTCGTCATGCGCGATATCATACGCAATGAACCAGTTGTTTCGTGTGTGCGTGTATATATATTCACAAATGTGAGTTATAATTATGATTATTTTCAATGCGTTAAAAAAAATAAAACCTAGTGGAAAAAATATTACTATAACCCTTCTTTCATGAAATAAGGAACAGCAGTATAGATACAGCCCTGACAGGTTAGTTTCCACAGGAGGACGGTTACGGTGATTTAAAACGAGTCTATTTAACGATGAAAGCTGTGCAACATCCAGCGAGCATAGCAAACTAAGAGAGAAAGAAGATAACATTCCAGTGCGTAAAGAGAGGGATCCGTAGTAAATTTAGCGCACTGATCTCATTCTATAGTGAATCCGTGGACGAAAATAGCGGAACGGTGAATGTGTTATTAAGGTGCGTTTAGGTTGGACCAACATGTACGCGTAATCGGTTGTCGACAGCCACGCACTGCGCAGCTTGAATCTGATTCAATAAGACGTTGAACGCGTGCGCGTCACTTATCGGTATTGCGTGTAAACCGAATCGCATTCTTTCATAAATTGTCTTTACAACAATACATGTATAATGTATAGAAGATATAATTTATATTTTTTAAAAATATATAGAAATATATGTTTATAGAGAGACTAAAAATTAAAAATCCAGTAGTCGAGGAAAAATACATACATAGGTATATAGGTTATTGATATTAATGGTAATTTTCATCACAGTTCGTTGCATTAAAAATCGTCGTAGCAACTCATTGGTTCCCCTATATTTGTAATGTGAATTTTTATGAACTTCGAGTAGTTATGAATTTCTATCATATATTACATCACTTGAGATAAACGAGAAATATTTGTATCGTTGGAAGTTGCAGATTGCATTTTGATAAAAAATTTGATGAAGAAATATGACATTTTTTTATTATTCGAAAAGCTTTTAATTATATTTGCCTGTGAAAAATAGTTCATAGCTGCTACTTAAATACATCTTTACGATGAAAACCCATAATAGAGGAATCGTGCGTACGCGCATTCGTTCGTTCACTCCTGAAATGAGTTTCGAGCTGAGAGGAGTACCAGACTGGCGTGCAGGTGGCGTTGCGAACGCGACGCCAATCGAAATTTTAGGACGATGACTGGGGCTTCACTCCCAGAAACTCTGATCTCGTTTTTCTATCACTGATCTTCCGCAAACCGCTTATGGATGCATAATCATTGTTTCCCCGTAACAAATGCGTTAATTAACCAACTAATTGTTAAATTTTCTAACGAAAAATATTAACCGAAATATTTGTCAGTCTAATTTCATTATTAATATTTAAACGTAATAACAAACGTGTAATAATAACAATCTACGATTCGCAATATAACATTGTTCATTAAGCTAATTCACAGTTTTATGTTCCTCGACAATATTTTGTTTCATACGACAATGTTTCGAACGCGAAAGCTTCCAGGCTGCACTCGCAATGCACATATTCAACTCAAAGCCGTAGATACAAGTAACATTCTCGAGCTATTGACGATTCTGAATCTCGGGGATCATCGAACCATGTGACATCCTTAGAATGCAAAGCATGGCTTACAATGGCAGAAATCCAAAGGAAGCCCAAAGTGTAGGCATTCGAAGATTGGCTGCTGTGTTGCATTGCTCGATTTTATGAATTCCCTTAGGCACACGTTTCCTTCCATCGGCGTGGGCATAAATGCCACTGCCATTGGTGGCGCTCACGCGCGTCACAACCGTTATGCCACAATAATTACTAATGTCTGCATTACGTCACGCTTATATATGCGATACACTTCTTCAGGGAAATCCTGCACGCTTTGACGTCATTAATGTCCTGTGCATTTTCGATATGTTTTATGCAAATACATTTTTCCCTGCTCATCTTCCTATCGTAATAACGTATTTCGAACTCTAACCTAAAATATCTACTCACGTCGATAAATGTAATTTTACTTATGAAATAATTTAATAATATTGTCAAATGAAATCGATGTTTATTTTGTTACCATATTTTTTTCTTCTGAATCGATTTATGTGGATCGAGAACGGCACTCGTCTCGAACGTAGAGCATCAGGATCGAATATCCACCAGGTGTTTTCTATTTCCTCGGATTACGAAGGGCTTGCGTAAGGAACTGTAAGTTGCACAGTAGGTTTACGAGATGTTTGTTAAGTCTCAACGTATATATATTTTTTATAGTAATTTTCCATATTTAATGGATGAGTAATTCGAATGTCGTCATAAAACAGAGTGTTAGTGTATTAAACCACCACAAAGAGTCAGAGGGATAATTATCAAGGACGATGAATAATGCTCGTAAACGCTGCTCTCAAGATTAGAATAATCGCGATTGAGAATAAGCGAATCAGATGTGTTCCTCTGACGCATCCTTGAAGACGTTCAGCTAGAAACAGAGAATGAGCGTGCCGACAATAATAGTGACAAACATATTCTTCGTGTATATAGATCGATGCTTCCGTTTTTAGCCAATACAAAATTGACATAGCTCTGTTAAGTAGCCTCTTTAACCAGCCTGAATATGCTTAATTATAGACATGTCTCACTTGTAATGCATCTCTTGGGTATTATGATACCAAGATTTTCTTACACACGTTAGTCGATAAACGCGTATGCAAGAAACGTGAACGTGCAAAAAGCAGCTTAATTGGTAACGAATCAAAGTTATACTCGAAGATAAATATTTTGCAGTTTTCCCATTATCACTAATTTTTAGCCGTTGGAAGAATTTATACACAGTCGGTAATTTATCGATAATCTAAAATAGTTGTTATCATAGTTACGCGACGGACACAGTATCACGTAATCGTACTCTGTTCGAAAATTAAACTAAAAATTCCGGGAATAACACGATGTCTTCGAATGCACTTGCACCTTTGAATGGTACTGATTCGGACTCGGAAAGTTCATAGGTCCCGCAAGTGTACACGGGCCTCTTCCCCTGCAGCGGTGTTATCGCAGCAAAAACACGGGCATGGCAACAAGGAGAGTGGCGCGTCTTCCAACCAGCTGGTGGAACGCGTGACGTCACGCGTCTACCTACACCAACGGCTGCCTTCACCCTCTATCGATACATACTCGACTTTCTCCCTACCAGCGACAGCGCGATGCCTCCTCCATCTAGGGGTCGCCTGAATACTCACACATGCCACAATCATTTGGCATGTACAGTTGCCTGAGCAAGTATTCGAATGTTCGCCGTCTGAACTGTTACCACGTTGGATAGAAATTTCCAAAATAAGACACCACTCTTGAGAATACGTGTAAAGTTAGACAAGCATTAAACAATGTATACAAAATTGGTAAACATGGAGTGTAAACATAACCTATTGTGCGATATTATGCAAAATCTTAAGTAAGTGCGAATAAATTCTTGGATGTGTTGAGAGATTTTAATATTCATGATGGCAGTTCGAAAGATTTCTGTTTTTCTTTATTAATTCTCTTTAACATATGTGAATGCAAATAAAAAAGAGAACTTAAAAATTGTAAAATAATATTAAGTAGTACTGAATATTAAAATTATATAAATATGGAAAATAATGTAAGTATCAAATTCTGTGGGCAAACGTATGCTATTTTGATCCTAGTGTTATTTTAAAAATTTGTATTCAGTGTACATATTTCATTTGTTAACAGTTCGAGATGCATATGTTCGAATACTTTCGTGAGCAACTGTACGTGCACATTGTCGTACGTGGCACGAGGCACATGCCAGGAACGTAGCTCCCGTTGGTGCACCTCCTATAAGAGACTTGTTGAAGCGCCTTTTTTTATTTATTGACAGTCATATCGTACTTCGAAGGATAGTTAAACTGATTAGTTTTAACGTGTAAGTAAACATTTGCATTTTTTAGTTTGGTTTCAATTGTAGGAAAATAGCAAATTTTATTTTGCGTGAGATGCAGAGGAGATATCAATTATCATAAATTACATAGAATATGTATGTATTATATATATATCATTATATTCCCACCTTGACGAATAAGAAAATATTAGAAATCGCGAGAAATTCATTTTCTGTCTCATTTCCACCCTATAAATTGATACGATCTATAACATTGATCGTCATTGATAGATTGATTGATCGTCATTCAACGAAAATGAACAGGAATTATATAGGAAGGCAGCAGGCATTTGTGGCACGATCCTGATTCGTAGTGGATACACAAGGAGGCTGGTGGGGTAGCCGAGTATCGACGACACGAGCCGATCCGTCCCCACCACTTTACCGACCGATCTCTGGCTCGAGTCTAGAAAAGTGGTAGGGCAATAGTGGTGGGGATAACATCTGCTCTTAGCGTGATTGCCGTGTATTGATGTGGCTTTATGGCGCGCGGCAGGCTGTGGGCAACAAAGTAAGCTTACGGTCGTTAATGTTCCCTACTACGTGAAATTCGAGGCCGTCGGAATATTGCGCCGCGTACAACTCAACATGTTTCATCGCGTTCCAAGCGAGATTTGCAAAGTTACGGCACAAACTGGCTTCGACGAACAAGAAACGCGAAGACCGTTTGAGGATCACTTTGGTCAAACCTAAAGATTAACATATGTAGAGTATCGACAAATATATATATATATATATATATATATATATACGTATATATATAAATAAAGTATCAGGATTGGCCTACGGGGGACGAATTACGCGTGTAGAAACGATGCCGTAATAAGCGCGTGTAATAGCAATCATAATACTCTTTTATACATTATATAATGGTTTCGAAAAATCTGTTGTTATACAAATAATGTTTCATGCAGTATTTAATGTTACATAATCAACCAGTGTTAACAGAAAAACTGTTGTGTAACTGTACTTCCGCTCGATATGATATTAATGAAAAATATTTTATTGCCTTTTTATACAATTTAGGTTATGATAATCCTGACACTATTTTTAGCACCTTTTTTTTAGGAAAGCATTAAATTTCAAACAACAAGTGCCTCAAACCTACACAGCGATCAATTTGCCATTGATAATGCAGATGTATGTACAACTCATACGAAGTAATAACACAAGGGAATGAATCGATTAGAGGGAGCTCGAAATAGCGTATTTTGCCTCCCGATTTCCTTCCGTTCTCGCATTTCTCAAGTCTAGGGTGTGTTGTGTGAAATCAGTGATTCGGAGAAAGTGAAGGGTGACATTCTTTTCGTGTATTCCTCGCTTTCGTGTTACTGAATCGTTTCTAGATGCTTGCGTGTTCATGCACATCGGATAGAAAATTCGACAAAATTTCTCCTCGGATTTTTTTTATCCCCTGAATTTTCCAACCTGTTGCGTCGTGCTTCTTTTTTTTCTATTTCGTTTTTGAATACTATTGAGATAATATGGCGAAACGTGTTTTTGTAATATCGAAAGTGAGCGTGGTTTTCGTTGTGGTCGTCGTGTTGAAGCTGCGCAGAAAAATACGAGAACAGAGATTAGCGTAGAAATTGGAAATAACTTACTTTTTATAGATCATCCAGATTTTTAGACAAATTTTATTTCATTCATGGATCATTCCAAAAACATTCACAATTTTCTTTTTCCGTGAAGAAGAAGGAAAGGATGAATAAAAATGAATAAAAAAGCAAAATTCGTGGAACAATGCGCAGTGAAGAATGAAAGAAACCAAGGTCGTTTAATCGCCGCTTATGGCTCGTAAACTTAACAAATGCGTCAGTCGGTCGATTTGATTTTACGTAAGACTGCCTTGCTCTACCTCGTATGTTGTACAATATGTAATTATAGTACTAGTGCATTTCAAGTTCCTTCGCTGGACTTCGGTTTCCGTACTCGTGGCTGCAAGCTAATTTCGCAATCATCAAATGCATCGACACGCGCATTTTTTAACTTCGTATCATCACCGTGTCCTTGATATATGCACGAGAATGTGGGCCTTCCTGCGCAATCTATTTTATTAGAAAACGTTTTCACTAATCAGATAAATTAAACTCTATTCGAGTAACTCGCCGATTATAACCAGTCGTGCCAATAATTAAACAATGTGACAATTACCTCTACTTCCGCTTGTCGCAATGAACTGGCCATTGATGTGCGTATAAAAGTGATTATTCTAATATTGAATATATGTTAAATAAATTCAGAGCAACCTATAATATTTCTTTTTACGTCCATTTTGAGACATATTACGTTTCGTAGAATCTTAATTTCGAGTTACTCTTCTCGATGATAGGATATCGCTTCACTGATGACATCATTATGATAGCTCGCGATACTTTTATTTATAGTGATTAGCAAGGAAGAAACCATTCTAAACGTGAGCAATATTCCTTTTCCAGATGTCTTCGCTTATTGTGGCTCCAGGAGAAAGTCATCTAAACGACCACGACCTATTTAACAATTGACTAGTGCAAATTTAACAGCAGTTTTTATGCCGTTTAAAACGATAGAAATTTCAAAGAAATTTCAAGAAATCCTGCGGATTTCGGAAAGTCGAGCTCTTAATATCCGCTAATATCCTTTACCTCGACGATATTTCAATGAATTTGTTAAACTTCCAAAGCTGCATTTCATACGTAGCAATGAAAGTAGTAATTCTGAAAAACGATAGTGTATGTAGAGAGGAAAGAATAAAAAAGTATGAGGAAAAACGGAAAAATTGTAACGGACTCGGGAAAACGGTACCCATGTCCTTCATAGAAACGAGTCTTCTACGAGTCCATGGTTCTTTAGTGTGGATCTCAAAGAATCTTTGTCTCTCGAACACGTTATCTCGAAAACATCTCAATTCACAGAGTATCGTGCCATCAACTTCCTTCTTGTGCAGTTGATTTCTGACTCGCTAATTGCAGTTCCATGAACCTGCAAAAAAGATTTTCTTCGATTATTTCGATGAAATCGAGTCATTAAATTTTACGTCGTTTCATAATGCAATGTTATACTTAGACTTTATTTCGTTTTGGTCTTAGGAATGTTCGACACAAAATCCAAGGATCACAGAGTTATCTGTTTTCTCGTTATCAAATACTGACATATGCGGGGAGATAAAACATGTAAGGCTCGATTAAAAGAAGTGCATTAATTCGAATGAAATTCAAAGTGACGCGAAGGGGTGGTGCACGATAGCGGTCTGGATGCTTCGAAAAAAGAAACTCGTTTGTTTCATTATTCGAATTCAGTAAAAGTACTCACGTTGGCGCAATTAACGAGCTCTGGCAAGAATCTTCACTAGAAGATCGTGTGCGTGCGTTTTTATGCACACACGCGTAGGATTCTTATTCGTCGCTATCACATAGGGTATCTTCGGTTAAGTGTCCACCAGTGTGTTCGAATAGAAATATTTCTGAACAATATTGCTGACGAATCTGTAATGATATATGTATATACGAAACTTTACATCCAACAAACCTCTGTTTAATACGGGTGAAATGTAACGTATATAATTTTATAACCTCAAATGTGTCATTGACATCCTACAAAAAAAAAGTAGAATAAAAGAAAGAAAATAATTTAAATGATTAGTTTTTTGTCCTTACTGCGTATTATGAACGATTTCTTTGTATAAAAAGAGAAAGTAATAGCATCTTCCTCGTCCCTAAATGTACACGTTCCCGTAGCACGGCGAATTATGTATGTAGATGTGTGTAACCTGCCACGCTTGCAGACGGCATGCGCGCATGCGCAAGCCGCGCGTAGTACACACAGCTAATCGTGACGTCATGTAACGCCCGATAACACTTTTGTTGTCGTCGGCCTATCGTCGTACGTATGCGACGATTACGCGTGACGCACAGTTCTGTCCGGGACACCGACCAAGTCTGACGCAGAGTTCGAAATTTCAATTTGTTGATAATTTTGCAGTTTTATATAACGGAAATTTTACACGAAATAAATTTTGTCGAATTTTCGTAGCTTGTTCGTCAAGTGTTTACGAGTATATAGTTATCAAGTATATTGTTAGTCGATCAGTTTTCTTATTTTGCGTAGTCGCGTGAAACAAAGGAATATGGAAAGTGTAGTGAGTGTGTAGATCCGACGTTACAATTTTGCATAGCTTGAAAGTGAGTTTCAACCATCGACATATGTACAATATTATTAAATTGTGTATAGCTTGACGTTTCACTGACGTTGTGCGTTGATTACTGATAAGCGATTATTGAAACGACCTTTGAAAGTGTACATATAATGATTCAACAAATTTTTGTTAACATATCGAATTATTGGTTAGCTCTTTTTTTATAAATTTTATAATAGATATTCGCAATGTATGTAATTCCTGCAGTTATATAGCAATAAAGTGGAAATTTGTGCGTCAAAGCGATAAGAGCGAAGCATAATCTGTAACGAAGTTTTGTTCCAATTATAAGTACATTTATCAGGGTTTAATCAATGCGTCACATGCGCTAGCAACTCATAGGCGCGAAAAAGGATCCGATGAAACATACCTTGTAGCGCAGTCGATAAAACAGAGTAATCAAAATTTAGCAAGTTATCAATTAAATCGTTACCGATTAATTTCTATTTGTACAATAAAATTCCATCATTATCTTCTACGGAAGTGGAAAATTACTCGTGAAGAATATGTCATACATTTTTTTTCTCCCAATGAAAAAATCAGAGACCCGTACGCTCGCATAAACTAAGGTGATACATTGTGAAAAAATAAACTGTACAACGATAATCTTAACAATATACGTAAACGAGTCGAAGCGGATAATAAATATCGATGTACGATAGAGTAGCATCATTGGTGTACTCGGTTCAGCGTCCGCATTTATTTATAAGCGTGTAAAAGTGCCTCGGTGATTTCTTTTTAGCTGCACATTCCTTTCAAGGCCCCTGTAGCGAACAGACGCGGTCAGCAATGGTGTCTGACCCGGCTATCCCCGTGCACCAACCGCTTTCTACTTTAAACAGTTCAATATGGAGTTCCCCAATGTCTGTTTTCTTATTCTCCACTTTGTGTTTAATTCTTTATTTCTACCTCGAGTATCATTGGTAGTAGCTGATGAAAAATCCATTACCTAAAACAATTTAATAATTATTTAAGGTTATGTTTCGGTTACATTTTTATGAAGATAAGTAGAAGTATACGATTACATAGTGTTCGAAGACAATTAAAAAGCGTATTTCGCGTTTGAGAGCAAGCAGTGATCCTCAAAAGGTTAAGTATATCTGTATTTTAGAATGACGCGTTTAAATTGATCTAATTCCGGCCGAGGTCAAAACATCGTTTAATTGCCAAACACTACACTACAGTAATGTAAGATTAGATGTAACAGTACTAAAGTGACGTAGTTTTTAAAACAATTCTCGTAAGAATTGGATGACATCCAGTGAAACTGAGGATTAGAAATTATTATTTGTTGTTTATGGCAACTTTAGAATTATCCCCATTAAAGTCTGATAATCTTAATTAACGACGTTCTCTCGCATTTACTAGACGTTCGTGGATTATTTTATTTTATTATCTCGATTTAAATTTACACGCTAAATTTAAATTCGATAATCCATATGTAATTGGCAAATTTCCTTTTTTCGATTTAATTTATTTGCATTGCATAAATAATATCGGTCGAATCAACAGTTACGTTATTTCAAATAACTGTACCGGATAAAAATGAGGAGGAAGCAAAGAGAGAAGGCACAATGTGCGAGAAAACGGTGAAGCATATATGTATATGTGTAGGTAACACGCAAGTAAATCTACGGGTAGGAGAAGGGAGAGGACGACGCGCACGAGTCAGCGACTCCATAGCAGAAACTTTACAGGTTAGGTAACGTGTATCCATGGCGACTTTTTTCCCCACGGAGAAAGTTAGTTTAGGTATACTTCGAGCATAAAATCATCTTTCTGTGTACCATTATTTTTACGGCAACTTAATTAAGTAATTTTTCCGTTGTTAGTTGGGCGTTTTTAATTTTCATAATCGTATTAGACATCATTGAAAATTACCTAGAGTTCTATAGCCTACAATAATAAAATCATGATAACAATCTTTTGCTTTGTTAAGATACTACAAGGAATTCAATTTATCATCTCGAAATAGTATTTCCATTACTTACTCTTCAATAACGAAATAATAGTCATTTTTATCAAGCGTCACAGAGCCTTCGATGTGTTTAATGTACACGGCCGCCATCTTATCGGCTGACAAAAGTGTCGGAGGTGCCATCTGTTGGCTAATTGAGCAATTTATTTTCGGAATTATTTCCGTCTATACGTGACTCAGGCGGTCATTCGTGGAAATTATTTAAGGAGGGATTCGTTTTCCTACTAAATGTTGATTATTAGGTTGGAAAATATGAATGTGACTCACTTTGTAAGAAGAATGTGCAACTACCAGTTAACGAGGCAAATACTTTGATGTACATTAACTGAATATTTTTTAGATTGCAGATTTAGTTACTTGCTTTCTACGCAGTTGTTTCGGCCTACTATTCGAATGAACAATATAATTTTATTTAATTTTCGTAGTCAACCTTATATCACAGTTTACACAACCGTTATACAGAACCGTACTGTTACTAGAACAAATCGAAATCGCTTCACAAAATTTACGCCATTTACGCAATTAACACATATGAAAAGAAAGCGTGAAATATTAAAAAAAAAAATACTAAAGTTCCTTAAAACTTATCGCATTCGAGAATCCCATTGCTTCACTAGGTATAAAAAGTATGCGCTCTATAAATAGTATATTACACAGTGTCTTAATCGTTCACGCATGCACAGTATTTGTAGAATCATCGATATCTTGTCAATTTGCGAAAACAAATTCCATCTAAATTTAAATCCTCGATATGACTAAACGAATAATTATTTCTAGTATTTCTTTTCTAACAAAGTAATGCAGTTTGATGGTTTATTAAGCTATGAATAAAGCGTATATAAATACACTAAGAGCTTTTTCGAGGCAACTGTATCGTTGGTTGGTTGGGTAGATGCGGACGTTACGAAGCGAGTAATTTGTTCTCGTTTTGCAAAACGCTACAGTTAGGGAAAAGTGCAGCTATGATCACGAACGTTTATTTACTTAAACTACATCTATTATCTGCCATTTTTATAGTGACCGTACAATCTGAGCCAAGTTTGTTAAAATTTCGTCATCGACGAGAAATTACGACGAAGAATATTGACCATCAATTGCTATCACTGCTTTCTTCTCCATAATTATAAGTGACGAAGTTGTAAATATATCAATACGAGATATAATATAACAATTTCTACATACAATAGTTTCAAAAAATCTTGAACTAAATTTTCGAAATAAATTGCTTTTTAATTTTTTAAATCTATGAATTCTTGCTATGTTATAGTGCTTACTATGAACTATAAATAACGCATCTTATGTATTTATTGCGATAAAATATACGTTTGGGTACACGAACTGTTTCAAAGTGGAGCACAAAACGAATCGTAACGCTCATTTTAAATGCGAAACCGTTCTCTTCTCGAACTCTGTTTCTTGATCAAAGATTCCTCGAGTTGGAATTTGTTCTTGTGTTTCCTTCATCGGAACACAATGGAAATACTCGATACATTTAGATCACTATAGAGCAGGAAAGGATACAAGAATTTAGCCCATTGTTAATGCGAAATACGCACCGCGTAAACGTGAAACGTTAAAAGTGAATACGTACTTGCGTATCGCTACACTGCCCTCTATGGGTCGTCTCTTTTACCGTCTCTCGGTAATACCGTTAGGTCTACAACACAGTCAGATTTCTAGCCATAAAAACAGAAAGCAGATAATGTAACATCGAAGAAATCACGCTTTAAAAAATACGATATCAGCGTTATTTTAATTACTCGTTTCTGTGATTGCTTTTTCGAAATGAAAAATTTTTAAATTTTGTCTACCTATTTTTAAGTCTAGTGACATATTTCCAGCGCGAAGGTAAATAATTTTGTATTTTCTTTTTCGTTTCAGACGCTAAAATGAGATTAGAGGAAGATCTTGTGATTCGTAGGAGCAGACCAACGATGATTTCTGCCAAATATCGCGCAAGGGAGGAACGTCGACGACTGTTGAAAATCTCGGCTGGCAAGCTGAGAAGAATCGAGGATCCGGAAGCCAGTCTGTGCAGATCGGTTCTTATAAACAATGCCGTTAGACGATTGCAACGCGAGAATCGGGATGAAAAGACGAGAAATTATGGGCTTCCGGTGGTCACGTATCTAAATGACTCCACCAAAGAGAATAATGTTTCCAGCAATCTTATCGTCGGAGTAACGGACGACGAAGCATCGTCAAGGAAGAGGTTAGTTTAATTTTTAGTTAGAAATTAAATTTTAATTTCTAATGCTTGTTGGCGGTTGATTAAAAATACATTCGTAATCATGCTTTTTGGCGAGCGATACAAAAAGTGCAGGAGGACCAAATTTTAAAATAGAATATTTACGTTTTACTAAATGAATAGAGAGTGTGAGAGAGCTTGCTCGTGATTATTAGTAATTCGTTTTACATAAAATAGATTGCGTAAATGACGACAAATCGTGTGTTGTTGCGTAATATTTTTAGGTGTCTGTTGACTGTCGCGTAATTTCTCTGTAATTCCCAAGATAATCGAATTTCTTAGAAATGTTGTATTTTATGTTTATAGATTGAACGATGACACGAGGAACGATGGAATCAGCTCTAAAAGACAAAGGCACGACGACCTTGATCTTCAAGACGACGTGTTCAGCGATTTTTACATCTTGCCGCCAACTCCGCGACTACTCTCTCATATCGATGAGGTCCAAGAACCCGACTCTCCTCATCATCACCATCTAGTGTATCCCGAGGATCGTCTAGGCTCTGTGGACGTCCGATCGGCAACGACGATCATCAGTACCAGCACAGCGAACACGACTACCAATAATAGCACCAGCACGACTACAAGTAGTTGCTGTAACTCCGTCATGTTTCCTAGCGAGCTAGACGGCACTAACAGTCCATTGACAAGTGTTACTAGATCTAACGACGTAGGCATGATGGAGTCTTCGGACGTAGTTGATCCTGACAGAATCTGTGATTTCGCGAGGTTCGCGGACTCCGCAAAGAGCCTGGAGGAACGTTTAGTTGAGTTACAATCGCTGGATGAACATTTTGACCTAGCTAAATTTGAAAGAAATAACAATCAAAGTTGCGGCAGAGCTTTTCACGACATCCAGACTTTCCACAGTTTAGTACCTGGACTGGAAACCTAGAAGGGAGCCTCGTGCCTCGAGCACCATCCTCTCGTCGTGTCTGGCTCGACGGAGAAGCAAAACCACGACCACGATAACGACGATGAAGATAGACGGCTTCGCGGCACATACGAGGAATCACGGCGAGGATGAACCTGGATTTAGAGTGTGGACTCTCTGTCTGGAAGATGGCGCCGCCTATGGTACTCAGGCTTGATGGAATAAGCATCGTCGACTCGGTTAGATGACCTATTAGAGGACCTGTTCGGTGTCTGCGGAAGTACAAAGAACGTTTTTTGATATCGAGGAATGAATATGTGTTAGGGAAGAAAATTTAGACCTGCTCAGGATTTATATTTTGTCCTTTAATTTGCCGGGTCGTTTAACCAGTGTCAACGATTGGGAGACTGCGTAGGAGGACGAATGAAAGGTTTTCACGGTTTACACGAGTTTTCAGCAGTACAGAATTCAGTGAATAGGACATTTGTTCAGGGTGTGGTGCATTTTCGATATGTACGTAACCAATGATTGGTATCTTATAACGTTGGTCGTACGACTACCGGTACCAAAATGTCCTGGAATGCGCATTACATATATAATTTGTATATATTCGAATACGTTTCTAAGAGCACGTTAACGATTATATTATAGATGAATTTGTAGTGGACATTTTTTTCGGAGAAAGTAAAAAGGAACGGCCGACGAATATGAGAAAAATGCCGAAGATGAGACGTATGCGTCTGTTGTATATAAATGCCTTTAGAGTAGTTGTAAATCGATGTAAGCGTGATATACGACCGAAATCGAATGAATTTCGCTATCGAGCGATGATGCCACAAATGGCCTTCAAACTTTGTTAACTATGTTATTGTCTTTCTTTTCATTCTTTTTTGTGCTTTTCCTCGCAATTCTTGGAGACAAAGAAGAGATTAATTCTGGGTCTCTTAAAAAATTATCGCTATCCGAAGTGTGATTTTTTTATAAATCACAAAACATTGAACGACGAGAAATCACCACAGTTATTTGAGAAAAGTATTTCTATCCGTTAAAGTATTTTGTTCCTCCTTTTTGTTTTTTCCTCTTTTTTATATTATTATAATTATCATTATCCACATCATCATCATCATCATTATATTATCATTGTACTATTACATTATTACTATTATTATTATTAATATTGATATCATTATTGTTATTATTATTATTATTATTATTATTATTATATTTTTATTATTATTTTTGTTTTTATCATCGTCAACATTATCATCATCTTCATCATTACAATTATTCTTCTTTTTATTATTATTATTGATATTCTTGTGTGGTAATTATTGAACATTTGTGTTTCTCGCGTGGCATTTTTTTTTTTTTGTTATTTTTCTTCTTTGTATTAACAATGATAAAATTGTTAATTGGTGTCAATTTGTACAATTTTGAATTTTATCACGTTGAAACACGTGGTTTGTACGATTTGTATACATGCTCATGTATATAATAATGTTCGTTTTTAAAAGTACGTAATAAGTTCGTTACAATAGAACGCGTATACGTTGGCACGAATTTCGTGGACACCGCGATGCAATAGTACGACTCCCTGATTTTCCTTATGGAAAAATATCAAAAGCGACCGCGAATCAATCTCGGATATCAATTACACGTATGCGAATACACGATATTGATTTACGGGCTTCGGTCATTTTGCGTTAACGAATTCGCAATGGCGCCGTTAAGTTTCAACAGTGCCGGTTTATGAGCGAATACTTCGAATAACGAAAGATATCGTTCGTAAGCTGATCTAAAACTGCACTGTTTCAATGCGTTTCTGCCCCCGTTCACAAAAGTGCTAAAAAGGAATTGGACGTCAATGTCACGCGTGTAATCATTTTTCTACGTTTTATTTAATCAACAAATTTTGTACGTTTTGCACACAAAAATTTGACGATTCGTTCACGGAACACCCGCTGTTCTTCTTTTCCCTTTTTCTTTTTGTACGAGAGAACAGCAGATGCATTTGAATCCTTTGAGCGTTGGTGCGCTACCTGGTGACCGGCGTAACAAGCTGGAGGGTAACCGCGAAAATGCATATTGTGTAATCGATGATCGAAGGCATTGTGGATGTTTGTAGCGAACTGAAAACCCGGTAAAAGGAAATAGAAACAATGACGAAAGCGTGGAAACGATGCAAAAAGAAATCCAATCTTCCTTTCGAACGTCTGAACCGC